TTCCGATCCTCCCTCTCTTCGTCCCCACAATATCCTCTCCTGCTGCTCCGAGTAAAACAGAGGGAAGCTGCTCGCCGGCAAAGCTGCTCCCACCACGGCCTGAGAACCCAAAGATTCTGAACGCACAATTGAAGAAGAACTCGAACTCATAAACTGTTCCGACAACACATTGCTCTGCCTCCTTTGATACTCCAAGTAATCCCCCGCAGTCTCGGCTGACTGGAATCTTATCGAAGTTTGAGGGGCAGAGCTTGTCGCCGGAAAAAATGGCTGCGGTTGCCGGAGCCGGGCATTTTCCGGGAAGTTGAGCTTTGCTCTGTTGCCTCTAAACCGCAGAGCTGCTTCGTCGTAAGCTCTTGCGGCGGCTTCCGCTGTATCGAAAGTGCCGAGCCAGACACGTGCGGCTTTTACTGGATCTCGAATCTCGGCCGCCCATTTCCCCCATGGCCGCTGCCTTACTCCTCTGTAACGCGGCCGAATTTCAGTCTGTGCGTCGGGATGAGGAGAAGATTGTATGGTGGTTTGGAAGCTCGCTGTGCAATTGTAGGATTAAAAATGTTAGTTTTGTGATATGTTTGGAGAAAAGATTCAACTTTTTATGGATAATTGCGTACAAATCATTTGAAATATTGATATTTATAAATTAAACAGATGGGTGATTTTTATGAAGTACGAATCAAATGAATTGAATGTATTTATACATGTCACGATTAAAATATTGAGAATTTGATAAAATGAAAATTATGGGTTGTGATTTTATCATGAATGTTGATATTTGAGTGAGAATTTAAATGGTGGATGAAAGAGGTTGGTTGATCTGTAAATAGTAAGTTTCAGGTGATATGTGCATGCATAGCAACCGAAATATTGATGTTCACAAAATCTAGCATCCCAAGTAATATTTTTTTAACTGTTGAACACATGTATTTACGCACCACGATCAAAATATGAAAATATGGGCTGGGGTTTTATTATGAATTTTGATGTTGAGTGAATCCGAAAAATGAATGAATGCGTGTGTTGGATTTGTAAATAGCAATGTTTTGGGTGCTATATCTTTAAATGCCCCTATAAATTGTATTTGAATAATGCACCTTTTCATGTATTATGTAGGAATTGAGTGATATGCATGCAAGTTTTTCAAAATATATAGAAGTATATAATGGAATAAATTGAAAAAAAATTATTTTTATCAAGAGTATATATATTTATCTTAAGATAATATCAACTACATTTAAATTATTTAGATTTAATATATATATATTTGGATAAATCTCATTTTAGATCAATGGTTTGGTGACATGATTCCAATCATAGATTATTGGGTTCAAGGGCTAAATATGCATAAATTTGCCATCAAATTACCTCATCTCAAAAAGAAAATCGTATATTCTAACACGTGGAGGTGTAGGTTTCATCATAGCATTGAAAAAGGATGAGAAATTCTAATAAAAAAGTGACTTTTGTGTTCTTTTACAAATAAAAATGAGACTTTTAGTTGTTATAAGATAAATATTTGAATCTCCCGACACTTTTGAGTTTTTGATTTCATCATTGTTTATAATAATGATGAGAAATTATGATAAAAGTTAGTCTTGTGCTATTTTTACTTTTGTGCTTTTGATGAAAATATTCAACTTTCATAAATTTTGGAGGTCAATGTTCTGTATTCTTTTTTAACAAGATGCAACTTTCAAGTCGTAGAGGAAAGTTCGAATCTTTAAATACATGATATGTAAGTAAATTGTTTAGATATTTGTTCTTTACATAGTGGTTGAAAATTTAGTTTCTCGTTATGAATTCAATCTCTTATATTATTCTCTTAACATAATTTTTTGAAATAAAAATACATCATTACTGAAGATAAGATAAGATTAGGTGTAAAAGTTCGTAGTAAGTAATTGTAAATTACAAGATAATGATTAAGGATATCTTTAATCTTAAACTTTAAAAAAAATCATTTAAAAAAGTAACTAATTTTGACTACAAAGTTGTCTTTTTACAAGATTAGAAAAGTTCAACCATCCAAAGAAAAAACTATCTTGGCCATGATTGCCTATTTTTCTTGTTTAGTGTTGATTTTTTTTTTATTTTTATCCTTAAATACATATTTTAAATTTAAAACAAATAACTTTTAAATGTATTTAATATGTCAATTTATGATAAGCTTATTTCATAGTACTTTTGCTTTTTATAAGCATCATCAAACATAGACAGATGTTTGGCCGTAAATTTAATCACTCACAAACAAAAAAAGTGGTTCAAATCGATCAATCCATTTACAGATAATTTAAACAAACAAAAAAATATCCAATTTAAATAATAGAAAATTTAAATTAGAATATATATATATATATATATCACATTTTAAATAGTGAAGAAAAAACAATACTTAAATATTTAATTAATCTAGATATGAACATTCTACATAAAAATAAAAAATAAAAAAAAATAAATAAATCATCACCTGCAACATTCGAAGAAACCAACCAAAAAAAAAATAAATAAATAAATAAATAATAAATCATCACCTGCAACATTCGAAGAAACCAACCCAGTCAAGCTTCTAAACTCGCCGGAACCTCTAATAAACCGTTTCACCTCCGGCGACACCTCCCCCCTCTCCCTCTTAACTCCTCCACTCCCA